ATGCTCTGCTGGTACTATCTAATAGTAATATGCCGGACCGTACCTCGCCTACTCCACTAACGAGTCTAGAGAGTCGCCCACGCCGGCTCAGGGATAGAGAAGATGTCCAGTCCTATCTTATCAACTAACATCATCCCATTCTATCACCGTACTGGACATCATCTCTATCCTTGAACCCCTACGCCTACTCCCTAACCCTAACTCTAACCCTAACCCTAACCATATCAGATAATTACCAGGGTACGTTCCGGTATACCGGACCGTACCCAGGCCAGGGTATGTTCCGGCAGTACCCTGGGGGACATAGATCTTATGAGTATGAGCAGTACTAATAGTAGGCCTAATACTATTAGTATTAGTATTGCTCATAGGGTCTATGTCCCCCAGGGTACTGCCGGAACGTAACCTGGGTAAGGTCCGGTATACCGGAACGTACCCTGGTCACTATTTGATATGGTTAGGGTTAGGATTAGGGTTAGGGTTAAGGCCCGCTCAGGTCGGTCTACGATTTTACTATCGGCGACTACTTTAGCGCCGATTAGCAGTGTAGCAACACTCATGTCGACTTGAAGTGACTACGCTGCACATCGCCGATCAGATCGTAGCGTTCCTGCATGAAACGTAGACGGGTTCGCAGCCCCAGTAGTATTTGTTCTAGCACAAGCAGTTCTTTAGCACAAACAGAGCAAGCTTGACGCCGGGACCAGTCTACATCAAACGAGTCACGTACGTGACCAACAAAATGGCGCTTTTACCAGTAAACATCATGTAACTTCGTAAATCTATTCTCAATTTTCTGAACATCGTTATAATCATGTGCAGAAATTTTTTTTATGTGATATACGCAAAACTTAATATATATTTGAGAAAGGGTTTGTGCAATAATCCCTCCTTGTAAACTGCTGACGAGTGGCGTGTAGGCTGCCATTTTATTAATCACGTGACTTCTGATAATCATTTGACTCGACACGCTGCGGTGATTGGCTGCCACTCACGATTTGTCGCCGACAGCCGCATAGAAATAGAACATGTTCTATTCCTGCGATCGCAGTCGGCGACCGTATTTTCGATCCGTAAGAGAACTCATGTCGATTTTATCGGCGATCTGGCCGGTTTTTGACGTACGATATTCAAATCTTGTCGGCGACTAGGTCGTAAGGCCGACATAAGCGGGCCTTAACATTGACTTAGGCTGCATCATGCGGCTTTCATGCCCGTGTTTACCAGCGTAGACTGGTACCCGGTCGATAGTTCCACACGCTACACTAACGCGTCAGTGTAGCGAAGGATACTTGCCGGAGTGAAGGTGGCAAACGGGTACCAGTCTATTACCAACACTGGAAGAAACGAGTGACACGCCATGTCCGATTCAGCCAATCAGCAAACAGCTTACCCCTTTATGATTACCTAGCTGTAATGCCCACGGAGATTGGTTTACAAAATGCTTTTCAGGCAGTATAAGAACTGTTTTTCAATTGGTTATGATGACGTATCTAAATAGACGGACGAATGAGGATTGCAATGGTGGGTGTTTCTTTTTCAAGCGATGTCTGGAAAGTTGTTTTCGAAGCGTTTGTTATTAAAAAATACAATTTTCACAATGATGTAACTATTTAACAGAAAAGAAACACCCTTACAGATAAACAGTAAGGTATGGTCTACATTATTATATCAATAACAAGTGATATTAATGAGTTCTTATACTGCCTAAAACGGCTCGAAGTTTGGTCCCGTTCGAAAAATTTCGGTGCCGCGCGCTTCATGCCAGGTCGCTGCTAGCCCCGTTTACGTTTTGTTGCGTTTTTAGCACGTTCAGGGTTCTCCAAGCTTTTTCATTATAGCATGGCGGGTGCTGCCTTTACGGTCCTAGTTGCAAATCGCCGAAGGCTATAAGGGGGTCCGGGGGATATGATATTTAGCATGGCGGCTATGATATTTAGAGTGGCGGGTACATTTTAGGATGGCGGGGCTCGACAATAGCCTGGCGGGCCGCCAGGCTATAAGTGCTCTTGGAGAACCCTGACGTTCTATCTCAAAAACGGTTACGGTAAAAATTCATAAAATAAAAACCTAAACGGTTGAGGCGCTTCTCATCTAGACTACAAAGTTTGATTTCATAATAAGATATATATTAAAAGTTACGTCATCTGAAAGTGGTTACATTGCCTCGATTAAAATGATTGTTGCTCAAATCTAGACTGTAGACAATATGGCGCGAGCGATCAGCATCGCTACTCATAGGCTAATACACGCGCGGCTATGATCTAAACGAAACGTCACGAATTCTATTTTTATCCACCAATCACAGGTCGGAGCAATTCCTCTGTTTAGACGCATGTATGACTATTGTTCTATAGCTATAGTCTATATATGCCATGCATACTAAGTTAGTAAGGGGGCAAGTGAAGTGGGTTACCTTGCTCTCCCAGTGCCACACTCACACAGTGGGAGTCCCACTTTACTGTATAAGTTTACGGCTCGCGTCTTATTTTTTTCTAGATTATTGTCTCTGGGAAGACTTTCTGATNCTTTGCCTCCAACTTGCATCCATTGGGAACAAGAGAAAGACAAGCCGGGGAATGGTTAAGCGGTTCGCTGACCCGTTGCAAGAAGAGCAGGCGTTGAGTGCGATTAAAGCTTTTCAACAGAACAGAGGAGAGCATATTCGGCCATATGGTGATCGTTTGCAAGCCTTGGCAATGCAGGCGATGACCGTAGACAAAATTCAGACAGACTACATTCAGAAGCTGCTAATCGATACATTCATCGACGGGTTATTCTCGATTTCAACAAAGAAATTATTACTGACTCGTAAACCGCAGACGCTCACTCAGGCTATCGAGATAGCCGCAGACGACGCTTTGATCGATGCGGACTTGGCTATGCGCGTGCGCAATAGAACGAGGCGACGGCCTGCCAGTCACTCGTACGTGGGAGCATACCTCTGCCCCCACCGGGAGTGACGGCTGCTTCAACTTCGTGGTGGGAAGGGGCGGCCGCAGACGACCACCGACTAATTCTAGCCCCCATTTTGGATAGCCCCATCGTCTCCTCCCAGTTCCCCGCCGGCCTCGTTGTGCGCGATTCGGTCTTAATTGGCACGCAGAGCGATACTCCACGCTAATCGACTGGGGGGAACTTTTCCGCGCATGGAGGATGCAATTCCCCTTCCTCTGGGTTAGGTGGGACCCTCAGGTACTTGCGCTCGACTTCTACATTGGGTGGGCCCCAAATGCCTTACCGCATTATGCGTGTCGGAGAGGGAGGCGCCACCAGCGTGGCGCACAACCTCCTCGGCGCGGCGAGATTCCGCCGTAGACAACAACGAGACGACGGATATGACTCGCCCGCGCCGATGGATTGAGGACGCAGCTCTAACCACCTCGACACGCCCAGCCGGCAACGACAGCGCGACGCCAGCGCGACAGGACGTCTGCGCGACGCCAGCAACAACAGTGTCGTCAACCAGCGGGTGGCCCGAAGCAGCAGCGGAGTGCACGCCGTTTGCGCCACGGGCCCACCCAGCCACTAGGCCGCGCCGGAATGAACATTACCATACCGGGCAAATTTTACAAACTTTGGTGAGCACGTCAAACGCTCAATTACCATTCGCCCCGGGATGCTACCACGGCGCGGCTGGGAGAGATGACAACGCAGACGCCTGGACGAGCAAATTGCCACCACTTCGCCGGTACGGCTGACNGAGAGAGAGAGAGAGCAGACTGTGTTTGTATATGCGCCGTGTGTGCGTGTGTGCACGAGTGTTACCTTTAGCGACTAGGACTACTCACACATGTCAACATGTCATGATTCGTGTCTCTCATTCTTCCTGAATGTAATCTTGTGTTGCAGGAGACTGGTGCGGATGCGAGCATATCAGTCGGTCCGAAGCAAGGCGTCTGCCAGGTCACGCAGTCTAAAAACTATGTGGTACGTGGCGCCATCTGTCCATCAGGATCTGCAGTAGTACGCATATAACGCAAAAAAATAGTCACCCGTATATTATAATAATTATATATTAATAATTATATAATATTAATAATATATAAAAAATAGTTATTAATAATATATTATAATAATGCTACGTAATAATGCCACGTATATTATACGTATATAAATATTTATATATATATATATATACGTGTGTGTGCGTGCGTGCGTGTGGTGCGTGCGCGTGCGTGCGTACGTGTGTGTAGCACAATAGCAGAATGTGTACGCCTATGGAAAGCGGTTTGTGCCAATATTCGAAAAACCCGGTTTTACGTCGATAAACTGGGTTTATCGACGTAAAACCGAGTTTATCGGCCGATATTGATAGTTTAATTTGATTAACCCGGTTTTACGTCAATAAACCCGGTTTTACGTCGATAAACTGGGTTTTACGGTCGTAAAACTAGGTTTATCGACGTAAAACCGGGTTTATCAAATTAAACTATCAATATCGGCCGATAAACCCAGTTTTACGTCGATAAACCCGGTTTTACGTAGATAAACTGGGTTTTACAATCGACTTTGGTCATTTCGTTGTTAATATCCTTCCTGCGCCTTCATACGCATAGCGTATACCTACAGGTGCATAGGGCGGTGCCTATCTCCGTTTCTATAACCCTGAGGCCCCGCAGCTGCTTTCACAGTAAATGCTACAGTAGGGGGTTAGTCCACTGTAGCACTGCGAGTTAACTTGCCACACTATCTCTATTTGCTGAATGCTAAGCAGAGAAGCCGTGTGCACCATTTTTTAAGTCTTTGGTATGACCCGGCCGGGAGTTAAACCCCCGATCTTCCACATACGAGGCGAGCACTCAACCATTGAGCCATCGCAGTGGTGAATCATTTTGTTGTACCGGTAATTAAATTTTTGAGTAAAATTGGGAACATCGATCGATTTGCGACGAGCAAAGCAGCGTGGTCGCAACAGCAACTGTTTGTTTGTTTGTTTGTTTGTTTGTTTGGCGTTTGTTTCTGCCGTCGCAGGTCTTGGACGTCGCGAGCAAGGTGAAGATAGCGCACCACCTGGCGCTGCAGTTCCCCACAGATGGCGCCACGGTTGACGCGATGGAGGTCGCGATCGCGTTGGTGGACGGGTCGACGGCGCGTGTCCAGCCGGCGGAGATGGAGACGCTTCGTCGCGTGACGGTGGCGTCGCAGGCGTACAGGGAACGGCAGCGCTCCATACAGCTGTCGTCAGAGAAGGTGAGCTAGGAGAGGGAGAGAGAGAGAGCGAGTGGGAGGGAGAGAGAGAAAAAGAAAGGGAGAGAGAGAGAGAGAGAGAGGGAGAGAGCAAGAGAGAGAAAGGGAGAGAGAGAGAGAGAGATAGGGGGAGAGAAAGAGAGTGAGAGAGAGGCAGAGAGCAAGAGAGAGAGAGAGGGAGAGAGATAGAGAGAAAGAGAGAGTTAGAGCAGGGGAGAGACAAAGAATAAGCGAGAAAGTAATAGAACGAGAGCGAAGGCAAGAGAGAGAGAGAAACACGCGAGATGCGATCGTACCTAACTAACTAGCCTACGTCCCATCTCGTTCCCGTCTCAGGACGATGTCCAGCAACTCGCCTCGTGCCGCGACGCCGCGCGTCTCGACTACCACGCCGCGCTCTGTCTCTTCGTCGACGACGTCGCCCGCCTGCCGCTTGACCGTCGCCACGGCGACCTGCGGGAGGCAACGTCGCTGCTGGAGACGACCCACGCTCGGCACCTAGGCGACGAGACGGCGATCCAGGAGGCGCTACCGGTCGCGCTCGACGCGTACGCGCGGTGGAAGGTACGACGGCATGCGCGCGCGAGGGGGAACCCTCGGACGGTTTTTTACCTCACCTTGACATCTTGACACATTAACAGTCTGTGGTGTCACACTCGTCTGGTTCGTTTTACAAGATTTCACTGACAATATATCTTTAATGCAAAATTGGTATTTCCTTCTCTACCCTGTCGATAAAACGTCTATATATATTAGAGTAAAGTTTTACAAAACATGTCGGAATGCAGCATATAACCTATTTATTTCGAACGCCATCGCTAAGAAACATCAAAGCGGGTATAGCGCCATCTACCGTCACAAATTGTGATTCATTTGGTTTATAAATTATTTTTAATTTATATATAATATTATTTATTATTTTCACATAAAAAATTACACATATAATTATCAAGAGTATATAATGGGAGTTCTCCCATATATACTCTAAGTCTTCATTTCTATAATGTACGTCGATGGTTGCTCAATTAAAACTGACTTCCTCTCACTCACTCATTTGTGTTCTTTTTTGTGGTGAGCTACAGTGTCATTGACACTTTCATTTAGAAATGAGTTTTTTACATACCGAGTGAGCGTTCTGTTAGTCAGTCACTGACTTAGTATTCTATTGTAAGTCACTGAGTGTATTCTGTTGTAAGTCACTGAGTGTGTTCTATTGTAAGTCACTCACTTACTGAGTTAGCATATTCTGCTAAAGCCTAGCGCAGACTTGCGACTTTTTCATGCAACTCGGCTGCGATTTTAGAATCGCAATCAAAATGTGAAATCGCTATGTCTGCGGGAACGTGCAACTGCAACTCGTAGCGATTCTGGTCGCTTGCAACGAGTTGCAAGAAATCGAACTGTTTTGATTTTTGATTTTGAGCGACTCGTCGCTCCCAATCGCTTCCAAATTGTTCTAGAATTGCTTCGAAATTGCATATGTGCGCACACGCGGCGACACATTGACCGATCGCTTGCGGTTGCAGGTTGCAGCGACGAGCAACCAAAAATTGCAAGTCTGCGCTGGGCTTAAGCGATTCCTATGTCCGTTACAGGAGTGCGAGGTGACGGAGGTTAGAACTGCTAGGGCTGAGACGATCGCAGCCCACGCACAACTCCAGGGGGCGCTGGAAGCAGTACAGACGGTACGTGTGTAAATTGGACGTCAGCGCTATGCTGGTCACTCTTTTTCATTTCTCCATTTTCACAGTTTTTCCGTGTCCAAAGTCGGATCGCATGATGAAATTCTCTATGATAAATTCGCATGATAATCACAATAATGCGCATGGGGGTTTGCTAGTGAAATTCAAGAGGTGAAGTCAACGAAAACGATAAAAACAATCAATCAATTAATCAAACACTTAATCAATCGGTCTACGATGAGATCGAGTGTTGTCGCGGCAACGGTGCGTGAGCCACGTATCGATCGAACAAGCGCATCATTTGTCGGTTTTCCTCACAGTGCCTGTCGCCAGGGGGCGCCACCATGGAGGGCTGCGAGATGCCCGCCGACCCTCACGTGATGCTGGGAAACTATGGCGTTGCTCTGCAGATGGAGATCAAGAAAGCAGACATAGTGAGTTGATGACGCATGTGTCGGCCGGTGCGTTCTCGTTAACTGTATATGCTACAGGTGCGTTGTTGGTTGCAGGTTCACGTTACCTGTAAATGCTACAGGTGTGTTCTCGTTAAGTGTAGATGCTACAGGTGCATTGTCGCTTGCAGGTGAACGGGGCGGGCGGCTCGATCGTGGCTTCTCTCTCTGCGCTGCTCCACCGCGAGCTGACGATGGAGCTCGCGGCGATCGAGAAGCTGCGCACGCTCAGCGGCGAGTGTGCAGACGTCGCCGACTCCCTGAAGGTAACCACGGCAACCGCGCAGCGCATTACGTAACGTCGCTCGGCCGCCGTATTGGTCGGGTAAGGGTCCCGTTGTTCGGAAGGGGGTTGACAGTGATGTTGGCGAGTTCCCTTGTTGCAACTTGATAATTGGATGCTCTGTTTTCTTCCCTCGTCGCAGCTTAATAATTCGATGCTCTTTATGTTTTCGTCTTGTTGCAACTTGGTTATTTAATGCTCTATTTTCTTCTCATGTTGCGGCTCAAATAATTCTAAATTCATTCCTCCTCTTGTCCTTTTTCTTCTCTATGCAGCTTGATTAATCGATGTTCTATTCCTTGATTTACCTCTTGTTCCTTTTTCGTCTCGTTAGCTTATCTTTAGCTTAGCTTATTTTTATCTTCTTAATCGTCGTCATCGTCGTCGATTATTTGATGCTCTATTTTCTTCTCTTAGCAGCGTAATAATGCGATGTTTCTTACGTTTCCTTCTTTGTCTCGTTAGCCGTGGCTGCGGGAGCGTCCGGACTTCGCGTCGTTCCACGGCGTGCGCCGCGTCGTCGATTAGATGCTCTTATGTTACGGTTCTCCTCTTGTTTCCTTCTTTGTCCCGTTAGCCGTGGCTGCGGGAGCATCCGGACCTCGCGTCGTTCCACGGCGTGCGCCGCGTCGTCGATTAGATGCTCTTATGTTACGGTTCTCCTTTTGTCTCTTCTTCGTCTCGTTAGCCGTGGCTGCAGGAGCGTCCGGACCTCGCATCGTTCCACGGCGCGCGCCGCGTCGTTAAGTCCCTTAAGTTGCGGCTTCGCTACAAGCTCGCCGACCTGCAGTACATGGAGGAGGAGGAGGGAGAGGTCGGCATGGAGGCGGAGGAGGGCGGAGAGGGAGAGGGAGAGAAGCCGGCGAGAGGGGAGGAGCTGCGTCTCATCGCGCACCAGCTGGAGAAGATCCGGGCAGAGCTTGACGTCGCCTTCTGCAGCGAGGACGCCGTACTGGTACGCCGGGGGGTCGACGCGAAGGTCACATGGGGGTCAATGCGTGATCGCATAAGAAGCAATGCGGGGTCGTGCCAAAGTCAACGTGTGGTCATACTGTGTTCGACTTACGAGCTCCAATCGCAGAAGTCTTCCGCCGATTCCTCCAGCATGCTTCTAGATTCTCACGCAATTTAAATTTTATTTTATTATATTTTGTACTTTTTCATATTTCTGATTTACTTTATTCTCCCACAGATGGAGCTGGCGAGGCTCTCGCGCGACCATTTCCCCGAGCTGAAGTTGGTTGGCGGCAACCTGCCCAACCTCGCGCAGTACTTGTGCTCGCAGGACATCAAGGAGGAGGAGGAGATGAGAGGGAGGCCGACGCGCGACGAGACGCTGCGACGTCGCTGCGGCGAGTTTGCGCACACTATCGCTGAGGATCTGACCGACCACCAGGTGGCGCTGTCGCTCAACAACCAGGCCGGAAAACCCGCCCGGCGCGCCGCTGAGTCACCTGCGAAGGAACCCTCGCGTGTAACGTGGGAGGCTTCTCTTTCTTCTGTGGAGGAATCCACACCACGCACCACCGGGGACCCTCCTCTCTCTTCTGCGAAGGAGCCCTCCTCGTGCACCACCGGGGAACCTCCTCTCTCTCCTGCGGGAGAACCCACCTCGCATGCCGCGGGGAAGGCTCCTCTCTCTCCCGCGGGGGAACCCTCCCCACGTGTCGCCAGCACACCACGAACTAATACTCAAGGAACTAATACTCGAGGGAGACCGCGTGGAGCGGGGCGGCCCCCCTCTCTCACCACGAAACCCGCTGCGGCGTCTCCTCTTCCTTTGCGCGCAGCGAGGTCTCCTCCTCTCCCTCCCACCGGAGGACCTCCTCCTTCGCCCGCCGTGCGAGTCTCTCCGGCTTCTCGACTCGCTCGCGGCGGGAAGGCGGCGCCCTCTAGTGTCGGGCGTCCGAGGCTCTCCGCGCCACGGGGGCGATCGAGGCTTCTCTCCCGAACGCCTCCCCTTCCCCCTCCCCCTTCTCCCTCTCCTTCCTCTCCTCTTTCCGGCGTAAATTCCCTCACTTCCCCTCGATCTCGGTCCGGCAGCAGGAGGGAGGTCGTCCGCTCGAACGGAGAGGTCGTCGCCCCCGACGACGCGTGGCGACGGGAGGATTCCGAGAGAGCGCCGCGGAAGAGGGAGAGGAGATCCAAGTACTCACGTCCGCCGGTCGCCGCGGCGACGGCACAGGCCAGACGATCGCCCCGGTCCGCCCCCAGCTGCTACGGGAACTCGCCGGGTGAGGTCGCCAGGTCAAAGGTCAAGGATGGCGCGTTGCCGGCGCAGCAGGGACGGAAGAGGAGGGAGCCGTCAGAGAAGAGGTGAGGTGTGGCGTCGGTTGCCACGGCGACGTCTAGCGTTGGTTGCTATGGCGACGTCCGGAGCGAGCTCGTGTCGAGTGACGCGCACGTTAATCGCAATGATCCAATATTCTACTTACTACCCTGTTATCATACGTTATTATAATATCATTATAATATTATGTTATACACGCGTATAGCATTAGCACGTTACGCACGTCCTGTTCGGTTAGATGTGTGATGTAGAATACTTGCGATTTTTTTTATGCAACTGACCGAGTTATTTCGGATTATGGCGTTGAACTTATTCCGAGAGGTGTTCGTCCTTCTTCGTAGTAGATCTTTTAGATTCAGAGGACGGCAGTCTTCGACTCTTGGTTTATTTTGAATGAGGTTGGCGAGTTAAGATGTGTTGTGTGTCGTGTGATTTCAGCTTGTCCGTGAAGATTTGTCGGTGCGATAAGTGAACAACTAAGACGTTCCTTCAATAGGTGTGTGCAGCTTCCAGGTAAGTGAAGCCAAAGAGAGGGAAGGGTGGAGGAAGGAAGAGAAGGAAGGGTAGAGGAAGGAAGAGAGGGAAGGGTGAAGGAACGGAGAGAAGGAAGAGAGGGAAGGGTGAAGGAAGGAAGAGAGGGAAGGGTGAAGCAAGGAAGAGAGGGAAGGGTGCAAGGAAGGAAGAGAGTGGAGGAAGGGGTGAGAGGAAGGAAGAGAGGAAGGGTGGAGGAGGAAGAGAGGGAAGGTGAAGGAAGGAAGAGAGGAAGGGTGATGGAAGGAAGAAGGGATGGGTCAAGGAAGGAGATAGATGAGTGATGGAATAGAGAGAGAGAGAGCGAGAGAGAGAGAGAGAGAGAGGAGCTGTAAGAAACAAAAGAGAGACAGAGCTTGGGAGAGACTATGAAATTAAGACAGGGAGAGAAGAGAGAGAACACCGAACGCAAAGTTGGAAGAGCTTAGAAAGACGTTTCTAAGATTTCTAAGAATTGCACTGTTTCAAGGCTTAACGGTTGTGTCGCCATCTGTTAGCAGGAAAAGGCAGTAACGAGGAAACTTCAGTTGCCACGGTTACGACTTGACGTGGCCGCAGTAACGTTGGTAAAACGGCTGTGGCAACTTGTCTAATCTCCAAGAATCACCACCATCCAGGAGTTGGAAGGTGGCATTGCAATACTACCAAGAAGGCCAGTAGCATGCGGGATTATGCAAGTGATGTAAAGATGAATTAATGTCTGTCTGTCTTAAAGTCTGTCTGTCTGAATTAAGATCTGAATGTCAAAGCCAATGTCAAGAATGCGCACACACTGAGTATCTCCAGGCCATGTCGTGATAGGTTGCCGTATGCCATCTTGATTATATAGTTAAATACCCCGCGGGGAGGGGCGCCACTCACCCAACATTATGGTAGATATGTGCCACTGCAAAGTCAAAAATGAGGGGCTCTGGAACTAACTCAGACCTGAAACTGTGGGTCTCTGGAACTGGCTATGTTCGAGAATGTAATCTTGTGATGCTCTGGAACGAGATATTCTTAAAAATGTGATGCACTGGAACGGAAGTTTAGGGTGAAAAAGGGGGGTCTCTCCCACGGCACATACCTACCATGCAATATATATGGAGTGCCCACCCCCCTGGGGTTAATACGAAATTAAAAATTTAGTATGTTCTCGTATAGACGTTCGTTTGTTGTCCTTATAAGCTTTGCGTTGTCTGCGTTACGTTGGCTGAAACTTGATCGTTTTCTTCGTGACTTTTTAATTGTTCGATTTGACGCTGAAATATTTCTGAATACTGTTTGAATTGTAGAATGAAATAAATGCGTATGTGAGATTCATCATATTCTTTTTGAACTTCTTCAATCTTTGTGCTTTTTGCATTATATTGCAATTATTCAATTGTATCATATATTGTTTGCTGCACATAGAAACAGCAGTTGACAACTGTTGTACCACATAGAGAGTATTACTCCACATAAATGCTAACCATTGAATTACATTCACTGTCAATTATATTAATCAGTCCGTGAAGCAAACAACACGTAATTGAAAGAGGAAGAATTGTGTGAATATATTACGTAAGATGACGTTGACTAACGAGACATTGGGGAACATGTTTTCATTTGCACCTCAGTCTCACCATTATAATTTTACAATAAATTTTTTTGGTACAAACAAATTTTACAGTCAATGCTTGGGAATTTAACAAGTATATATTTATATATATATATAGTGAGAGTATTGCACAGGAATGATAGTAGCTTTTCGGAGCGTGTTAATTACAAATAAAACTCATTTAAATAGAAAATGCTTAATATCGAGTGTGCAATAGCAATGCGATCACCTTGAGTGACTATGTATACAGACAAGTGCCACCATCGATATAGAATAAATATCTAGAATATATAAAATCTTAATCTGTTCTATAGACTATATGGTGCCACTGCCAGTTGTTCTATGCATGATTATTAATGAACTCATGGCGGCGAGGACGATGACGATGGCAAGCATGATAATTACAGGGAAAATATAGACACGCGCACAATTAGATGCGCTAGGAAAGCATCAAAGGTTTTAGAGTTAGTCGTCATAAGAGGATGTATTCAATTAATTAAAACTAAATTTACAGATCACTATTTATAATAAAAACGCGAAAAATCCATATTTGCACATATTTACTCGCCGTATATATTTCACATGACACAGTTGTGCACATGGTGGCCTACTGTTAGTCTGCGACTTTCTGGCAGTGGAAGTTGAAAATGCATGAAATTGTCTTTATGTGAAGAAGGTTATAAAATGAGAGGCGTGATGTCGAAGAAAACATATGACGTGTTTGTGGGTAACCTACCGCCTGAGAGTTCAGAGGTAATGATAAATCGTACTTAGGTTCTGTATTTTGGAAAGACTGAAAAGGTGCCCAGTCCAGTGGCGCTCATACTCATAGTCATACTCATAGTCATAGTATCATACTCATAGTGACAGTCATACTCATAGAGTCATACTCATAGGGTCTATGTCCCCCAGGGTACTATCGGAGGGTACCCTGGGTACGGTTCGATATATCGGAAAGTACCTCGGGGTACTATATACGGTATGTCGCTGCGTACCCTGCATTGTCTCACCGTACCCTGACTTTCAGCCAACTGATGTCGTAATAGTAATACATACACTCTGTCAAGTTACCACATCACATAGAAGAAACCTCAAAACATTTCTAAACAAATGTAGAATACTTTGGATCACGTAGTACACTGTTCACTTGAGAAATCACGGAAAATTAAAAACTGACGGGCTTTTAGGAAATCAAAGACCGTGCCCGGCTGCCGGGCATATAGCCACATCGTTTTTTAAACGAAGAGCTAGCTTTTATATTTTAGTTTTACAACATCGGAAATACGTCCATATAAAGTCAGGGTACGGTGGGACAATGCAGGGTACGCAACGACATATCGTATAGTACCCAGAGGTACTTTCCGATATATCGAACCGTACGCAGGGTACCTTCCGATAGTACCCTGGGGGACATAGACCCTATCAGCCCCAGTGGCAGTGGCAAACAGTTATTGAGTTAAACACGAAAACAACAACAATAAACCCAATATAAAACATAACCATTAACCTTTACAAATATCGAATTGAGTTCGTGTCGACTAAACAAGTTTATGATTTGGTATGAAGTGTTATCAACCAAAAAATCACATTAATAGAACTAATGTGACTATTATTATTATAATTAATGTGATGACCTAGATGAAGGTTGTAATTTGGAAAAGGCAATCACTACATACAATATATAATTCATTATGCTTATAGTGATGCCATTTGTCACAAATCTCGTAATCTCGTGTCACGATACAATATCTCCATGGAACATGATATATTTCGTGTCGGCCAGGGAAAAAAATACATGGGAGCGACGAGCGATTTCGCTCTGGTAAGCTCTAAAATCGCTCTGGTAAGAACAATAACGGGAGTGATCGCCCGAGAGAAAATCGCTCCCGTGGCCTGATAAATTGAAATGTACACAAATACGTACGTACAGCGAGCGCTACATATACACCGGGCATGCAGCAGCGGCTTAAGCTGGTTTACACTGACGATTATACGCAGTCAAGTTGGCGTTTTTCTTCTTTCTACCAACCTATCTATATATATATATATTCAAAGCTCTTACGTTATTGACCGCGGGGCGGCAAACGTTTCAACATTTGACCCGTAGCGTGCACGCGGGGCGACGCGGATACGCATTTTTGCACGTATTACATGCCGCCAGCGAGGCGTCTAAAGCAAAAATGTGCTCTTCCCCTAGGGTGGAGGGACACACCCCTGATTGCTGTTGTCTGATTGGCCACTTGGCAAAAAAACGTCCAACTCGCCTGCTCCGAGTTGGGGAAATTAAAAACATGTTCTAATCTTCCGACTCGCTGCTATCGATCGGTTGGACGTGCGACTTTTGCGTTTACACTGGCGATTGTCAGTTGCCAAACTGCCAAGTTCGTACAATTCGGCAACTCAAAATCGTCAGTGTAAACCCAGCTTATGTATCCGCTGCAGCTGGCGCTGGCTAGATCAACCCGCTGACGCATAATAAAATACAATTGATAATAAAAGTTATACAACAGCGTGTAGAACTAGAAACTGTTGACAATGTCATTCATATTTAAATTTAACTTGACAATAATACCAGCTGAATCCAGCTCTTGCCTTGTATTTTAAAATCTGCAATGATGTTGTTACAATTGCATTCATACATTGTCTGTTGAAACTATGAATGATAGTCAATGATAAACTATGCTGACAGATGTGATGTGATGTCACAGACTCACAGGCACACATCTGTGTGAGACTGACAAATTAATCGTGTACTTTTTTATTTTGAGAGTGAAAAAAGAAACAAATAACTGCACAGTGGTATTTTTATATAAAAAAAAACGTTTATTTGCATCCAAACGAAAAGATAACGTGGTTCATACTGTATGTATATTACAGAGTAACAAAACAATAAGCAATCTAGAAGTAGTGACTAGTGAAGCATGTGTACATGTAGAGAGAGAAGAGTGAGAACTGAGAAGGGGAGTGGTGGATAGAATGGTAGTATGGTACGTACTATGATAGAACTTAGAAGATGGGAGAGGTCAGAGGTGTCGGAGCCTCGGAGGCGGCATTGTGAATGCGAATGGATTCAAAGGATGTTTGGATCATGAGTTACAAGTGTGATTAGTGATATGTAGTAATGTAAATATAATTATAGGTACATGTATTAACAGAAAATTTGACACACTCATGGAATTAATAATATATACAATTTACATTGATGTCCCCATCCCCACAAATAAAATAAGTACATTATATTACGTATTTTTCGAAAATTTGAAACTATGAAAATGGCTCTGGATACATAAAAAATGGCTCTGGTAAATTTTTGACAAGTCAGAAAAATGGTTCTGGTGATAAAAAAAGTATTTTTTACCCTGGTGTCGGCTAAAAGTAGAAAGTGTTGCGAATCAGCGGTATGCTTGGTGCTGTGTCGGAGGTGCCGGTCACACAGCCTAGAGTCCCAATGGTATAAGGCGTCTTTAGGGTTTAAGGTGTATGTGTAAGTGACCTGCATGCTCTTGTGCGATTTTACAGGGGAGCATAACAAAACTCTTCTCGCCTTATGGAGAGATTCAAGGTGTACACATCAGGGATGGATCTTTCTCCAAGATGGCGTGAGTACGACGACAATTGAACATCTGTCGCGGCTCGCCCACCTCTAGCTGGGACCTGCGCACGATCCGTGTCATAGCGTAGTCGTCCTACTTTTGTCTCAGCGATTCGTCCAATGCGTCTTAACTCGACGTTTGAGCGCTGTTTGCTGGGATAATCTATCAAGCCTTACCCACTTTAGTTACATAGCAATACGTAGTAGTGTAACCGTGACGACATATATACTCTTATTTTAATTGTTATTATTGGGTTATTATTCATGTTAGGCTAATTAAGGCTAAACATTATATGGTTTGGGGTTAGGTATGGTATTAAGGGTAACAAGATAACACTGCAATCAGCGTTTCTGCTCGTTCTCCATTGTCACGTAGATTAGGGTGGTCATCGTTAACAATTAGAGCATTATTACATACATTATATTACTGTTACAACTTACATAGCTCTATAAGTTGGGGGTTTGGGGGTTAGGTATTAGGGTTAACCACGGTCGGCATTTCTGCTTGATCTTCGTTGTCGCATAGCTCCTACGCGACGCGTGAACTCGTTTGACCTTCGCGCAGGTTCGTCAAGTACGTTCAGGAGGAGGCGGCCATCCAGGCGGTGAAGGCACGCAACGGCATGCTCACCGACAACGGAGCGCTCAAGGTCAACCTCGCCGTGCAGAAGAAGTACGTTCGCTTGTCGGCCGCGTCGTCGCACGTCGGCTGCATTGGTCGCGCGTTGTCGGCTAAGGTCTACTTTACGTTAGGACTCCAGTATATCATGGTCATCACTCTACGTTTTATTGTTGTGTAGGGTCTGCTCATGTCTACTGTCTTATGTCTACTCATGCACTTGCCGTCGGGTGAGGTCTACTTTAGGACCTCACTATAGACTTGTTCAAAAGTTAATTTCTACCCCTGAGTGACTGAACAGAAGTGAAATCACAGAACTTCTGTAGTCTTACAATGACACTTCCATCTTCCACGCTGTGCTGTGTCATACATGATCCTTGCTCACACACATATCGCTTCCTTGCAGTGCTTCGGTGCTGCAGGACGGAAGTCTACAAGGTGGTCGCCGTCTGGAGAGGAAGATGATCGGAGGAGGAGGAGGGGGAGGAGTGTTCGGCGGGAATCCAGTCGGGAGAGGAAGCATCCGATCAGTGCAGCAGCAACAGCAGCAGCAGCAGCAGCAACAACAGTTGAGGATGGCCGCGGAGGTCGTGAAGAAGGTAATAGTAATATATTACATCTAATATCGTGTATAATATATTATTATGCCTTTACAATAATAATATATTACATCTAATATAGTGTATAATATATTCAGGGATGAGATTCTTCCGCGGATCCGCGGAAATCCGCGGATTTGACAGTCCCAGGGGTCGATTTTGTAAAACGTCTAAATTCGTTGAGAAAATTGGGAGGGGGTAACAATGTAACAATTTAAATTATATACCCTCAACAGCACCTGACTGTAAACTGTAGAGTGTAGACAGTAGGCTGACAGCGAAGTATACAGTGTATCTGTTTTTGCGTACCAGAAAAGAAAATCCTCGTTCACAGGCTGCAGTAGAGGGGCAGACATTTGAGGTAGCTGATCACGTAACGCCCATGCCTGGCCTGGGGGCCGGGTTTACATGTTGCTGCGTGCATGTTGTGTGCATGACTATGCACTGATTGTTCCATTCGCATTGTGTTTTTTTTTCATTCAAATCTGGTCGCAGCAAGGCAGCTTATGTCTGAGTAAAACAATGCAAGCGACGGGTGGAAACAGAAAAATATCATTATGTCTAGACATTTAATAAAAAAAAACTTGCCCTATTTTCAGCCCCCTGATTTCCTATTATAGTTCGTTTGTTCCTTTTGACCACTTGAAAAGGTTATTCAAGAGTCTCCTATAATGTGTTCCGAATAGCTTAGAATGCACCAAATTGCACCATTCTTTTAAAAAAATTCCGGGGGAGCATGCCCCCGGACCCCCCCTAGCATGGCGATGACCTACGGTCCTCGCATTGCTCGCTCCTCTGTTTGCTAATTAAAATTTCAGCTGAAAATTAAATTATCCAATCTCATCCCTGTATATTATTATATCACTACAATAATAATATATTACATCTAATATAGTGTATAATATATTATTATATCACTACAATAATAATATATTACATCTAATATAGTGTATAATATATTATTATGTCTTTACAATAATAATATATTACATCTAATATAGTGTATAATATATTATTATATCACTACAATAATAATATATTACATCTAATATAGTGTATAATATATTATTATATCACTACAATAATAATATATTACATCTAATATAGTGTATAATATATTATTATATCACTACAATAATAATATATTACATCTAATATAGTGTATAATATATTATTATATCTTTACAATAATAATAAGGTCGTGAAGAAGGTGGGTTTTCGCCTGCGCTGTCTGTGTGGTAGCGCAGCGTCGATTGGAGCGAAGTTTGAGGGACCCTCTCTCACTCGAGATGTCATGGTTCTTTCCTCGCGACTTTACGCCACGATTAACGCAGGATTACTTGTTGTTATTTCGTTATTATATTATATAATTTTTTTCATTTTATTATTAACGTAATGATAATAATATTATAGTTATATCACACTTGAATATTACAATTTATATTACACACACAAAAAAACAAATAACATTTAAAGACCAAGAAGAATACGCCGATATGACGTTAATGAATTAATTAATCGTCGTTCGATTAGGCGCAGCTGATGGTGACGCACGTCGTCGATCCCGTCACGTTCTGGGCGCACACGGTCACGCCGGAGGACGCGAATATGCTGGCATTCATCACAGAACAACTGCACACCCTGGTGGCGGGCGACCCCGACAAGGTGGTTAACGTCGAGCGCGGCAAGGTGAGAGAGCGGGAGACGATCGGTCGCGAGTAGGCGTTAATGTTGTGAGGGGTGAGAGAGAGATACAGATATAGGGGAGAGGACGGAGAGATAGACAGAGAGAGAGACAGCTATAGATATAGGGGAGAGGACGGAGAGATAGACAGAGAGAGACAGCTATAGATATAGGGGAGAGGACGGAGAGATAGACAGAGAGAGACAGCTATAGATATAGGGGAGAGGACGGAGAGATAGACAGAGAGAG